ACAGAGCCAGATTTTTTGAATTTCTCATTTACTGATTTCTGGTGCTTAACAGAACTTTAAAATCCGAAAAATTCTTGAAAGATTTCTTAGAAATCCTCATTTCTATAAAAAATGGAAGCATAATTTACAAATCAGACTGTGTCAGGTCCTAGCTAGTCAACATTCCTTGAAAGTTCGGTTCAGATCAGACATACCTGGCTGAGATAGGTTCCTGATCCGGGGGAGGGAGCTTAAGCATAAGTTTTAAAGAGGGTAACTTATGTGCGTCTATATATCCCATACCAATATTGAAAAATTTCGCAAATTTCTCTGTTCATTTATGTTTAAAATTGAATCAATCGGACTCGAAATATAAAAACTCAAGTTTCCAGTCCGAGTCAACCGAAAAGTCTTTCGGTTGGGACTCGGACTCGCCCGATCCTGGATGCTAGAAGGTTTCGATCATTGACTGTTAGGCAAATCTTTGAAGAGTAGGTACATACAACAGGAATCGATGTAAAATTTCGCAGTTGAATATGCCATTGCTTTCCTTACAACGATTTAGGGAATAGAAAAAACTACCATCATACATAAGAATAATTTCTACTCAGACAATAAACAACTGTGATATTTTTTTACAATTTTTTTCTTCCTCATCTGTTTTTTTCAATATTTTTTTATCATTTTATAGATTCAACTACTATTATACGTTGTTAAATATTTCGCTCTTGTACAATCACCTTCTTTCCAAACTCATTTCTAATAAAATTCATTTTGTGAAAAACGAACTATCAATTTTCAAAATAACTCTGTAAAATTTTTAACATATAGTTGATGTTACTGTCTTATTTCTACATGAAATAAGCTCAATATCAATTTTTTGAAGTTTTATCCTATGCCTGTTGACATCGAACCACCGAATTCAAGTATATCAGCATTTAGAGACAAAGCATTTGTTACGTTACGCGCAATGTATAGAATCAACTAGACAAATTCGAAAAATTCATTGTTAAGCGCAATTTTATCGAGGTACTCGAGATATTTCAATTAAGATAAAATAATAAATGAGCTCGGATAAAAGAGATATTTGAATTTCTACTGTCAAGTCTTCGCTTTAATTTGTATAATCGATGGGCTTTTTATGTTCAAATAACTATATTAGTCTGTATGCATGTCCCATCGGTATATTTTTAATTAAATCTATTCTTTCAACTTGGTATGAATGTTTCTCTTCTACTTCTAAAGGTGATATCGACTCTTTTACAAACGAACAACAGTTAAACTAACTTTAACAAAAGATTGAATATTAGTGAAAAGCTATTGTAATCTTGTATCTGTTTTGTTCTTGAACTGTTTTTTTTCTTATTAAATACACTTTTCTGCTAACAAAATCATTAATTAAATTTTATAAATTAATTATCGATTTCTCTCTTTTAACGACAAAAATAAAATTAATCGAGTTCACTTGTATCTTTCTAGAGTATAAATTCATTTCCTAGCTCAAAACTGTCATTTATATAAATAACATACAATTTTATTACAATCGAGCTTATTTCTCTCATTTTAAAGCCAATTAAACAAACCGAGCTTAAATATCTTTTTTTTCCAAGCTCATTTAATTTTTCATTCCTTTCAATTAACACTTTCTCCAAAACATTTCCATATCACACAGGTTGAAAATGAACGTCCAAACTGTAAAAAAATAACTAAAATATTTTATAGTTAATTACATATTTCTTGTACTAAAAATCTAATTTTACTTTCCTTATTTTCATTATCTGTTCAGATACATGTTGAACATCTCAATTTTGTATTTAAGATTTAATTCGGATTTATCAATTTTAATTTTTAAGTGCACCACTGCCTGTTTCAAACAAAAGTTTCTAATCATAGGAAGATGTTAGCGTATTTTTTCCAAATATACTGATACAAAAACGATCGGTTGAATAGTATAAAAAGCAATTTAAAAAAATACTCTTTACTGCGAAGAAGCACATCTCGTTCTATAGTGTGATAAAACTAATAATGCAGTGTAAACAAGCAAACATATGGCAGCTAACATTTTACGATAAGCTTTTACGCAAGAAAATGATGCGCTAAGCCAGGTTTTCTATGACTAATCATTAGGATATCTGTCAAGTGCTCTTGAGTAGTTCGTCGTTTTGATCTATTTCCGAACTTTCGTTTTCATCTTGAACAATCAATGGGCTCATAGTTGGTTTTTCTGTTGGCGTTGTTGGCTCTTCTTCAATAATGGTCGATAATTGCTGTTGATATTTTTCTGCCTCTTTCACGGTATCAGGTAGTGATTTTGTTTCTGTTTTTGTTTCGGGTAATCTTAGCGCGAGAAGAGCAGCCACAAATAGGAAAACACTGAAGATTAAATAAGGTAAAGGGGGCCAAATAGATTGAGACAATAGACTAATTTGTGGTGCCCATACACCTCCGACCCGTGCAATACTCACTGTGAGACCCACGCCTGTTGATCGAATGACGGTTGGATAAGACTCTCCTGTGTAAATCCAACAGAGAGCTTGACTTGCTGAGATGAATAGTTTTGAACAAACAGCGAAGGGGAGACTGAAAGACTTGTAGGAGGAGAAAGAAGGAATGAGAAAGAGGGAAATAAGAAGGGTACTGAAACTACACAAAGATAAGAACAGTACCAGTGGAATTCTTCGTCCAAACCTATGAGCACAAAAATGGCACAGACATAAGCCAATAAATTCAGCAAATGCTGCGATGGTAAAAATGTGATACGGTCTTGTTGGATGAAGGGATGTGATACTCATTCCGACTCCTAAATAGGTCATAAGATTCACTGACCAGATGTAGAAGAGGATGAGACATCGCTCTCTCATAACGGGCGATTTGATCAGTCCAAACAGAACGTGAGTGTACGAATATTTCTTTGTCTGTTTGTATGACTCTTTTTGTAAATCGTCATAAAATTTTTTTTCAACATTTTCAATTGTTCGACCGTTAACACGAGCTATTCGTAGTATAACACGTCTAGCTTGAGGTAATTGACGTGTAGAGATAAGCCATCTAGGTGATTCAGGAATAAGCCAGTAGTAGGAGAGAAACGGCATGACGTAGATGGTGAGAATCCATTGAGTGAGTAGCCACGAACGAAAGTAATAGTAAATTAACATCACTAATAATTCACCTAATGCAAAAAAGTACGACAGGATATATCCTGGCAATATACGTTTATTAGCCGTTGTTATTTCCATCAAAAGTACAAGTGTAATCGAATATGTGGTCTGTGAAAAACCTGTTAAAAATCTTGAAATAGTAAATATTAATAATTTCATGTTGGGTGTCATTGTTGTTGAATGCATCATAATTTGTGTAATATTCAATGTAAATGTCATTAGAATGATGAGAAGATACATCGTCGTTCGTCTACCAAGTTTATCTGACATGATTCCACTTAAGATTGAACATCCCGTACCCAATATATAAAAATTTTGCGTTAGACCTTTAAGATGAAGGCGATCACATACGAGTGTCCAATCGGTAACAATAGTTGACTCGTAGTGCTCAGGTGAATAGACCCAGCCATAAGGACATTTGATTGTTTTGTTGGTAGGAGAATCTATACTACATGGATTACGAGATTTGATTGTTCTATATTCTGTGTCATTTGGATGAGTTTTGCATCGATGTTCCGGTGTGGCGGCAATAAAAACATAATTGAAGGCAACCATAGCAGGTAGAACAGCGAGAAGACCAACGAGAAAGAATTGACCAATTTGATAGAGACCAAACGAACCACATTCATCGAGTAATTGATCAACTGTGCTTGGTTTAAGAGATGTAGAAGCGCTGATACTTTTTCGTTGTCCTTGCAATAGCTCAACGATCGATCGGCCACGACTACGTTTAAATTCATCTTTTTTCAATTTCATTTTTTTATTCAACCTCTATATCATACTGAATATAGAATGAAACTATATCTAGTCTTTTTACCTTAACCTTTTATATCGAAGTTTTATTACAATGTTATGGATCATTTACATCAAACTGTAATGTGTTTTTTTTTAACATAAATGAATGTAAATTGAAAATTGACTCTGTATGTAAAATAAATTTGATTGTTGTTTCGTCATGCTATCGATGTGGACAAACACATCGCTCTGTATAGTAAAAAAAAAAAGCTCTCATCATCGACAAAAAATATTGTTAATTAATCTCATCATTAACCTTTATGCAAAAAAATAAAATAAATCGTGTACGATGTTGTTATAATTAAGTACCAGATAAATTTATTTTACAATATGAAAATAAGGAACTAAACTGTAAAGTAACTAAAACTTTGACTAATATAAAAAATATCACATTTTTTTCACTCTTAACAGATTAAACAAAACAGAAATATGATTTATCAGACTATCCATCCACTTATTGGACAAAATAAGTTGAATTTTCAAAAAAAGACAGAAAAGATCTCGGGAGAATGTCAATTAAGCATTTCTGCATAAAAGATTTTTGAAAATTAAATTTATCTATTTATGCAGAAAAGATTTCGGAATTATGGATACAGGATTTTGTAGCGCTTGAGCAGCTGATTCAAATGATGTATTGTAACACGGCTGCCAGGCTTCGTTAAGTTTCCGATTAACATATCTTGCAGAGACTTGCAAGGCGCATCGAATGATATATAAATGATTAGAGATCATCTTTAGTTTCATAGAGTTTTTATGTAGGTTTTCGACTATTATTCGATGTGTCTTGGAACTTAACGAAGCTTGGCAGCGGCCGTTATGAATCAAATACTAGATTTTTTCATAGATCGCCGCTATGCTACTCGAACTGACCATCACCTTTCTCTGTGAAACTAAAGATGATCTCTAATCATTTATATATCTTTCGATGCGCCTTGCAAGTCTCTGCAAGATAGGAAACTTAACGAAGCCTGGCAGCCGTGTTTGGGTATTAAATACTGCGCCGCTTTAACCTCGAATGTCTCCAAAAACTGCTCGCCACCTTTATTTTGGATTTTTCTCGTGGAGTATACGAGCTAGAACAAATTTGAAAAAAGATTGGAACAGCTGATAGAATTCGGGTCTCCGGAAAACCAAAATCTCAGAAAACCAACACCCAGAGTCCAATCTAAAAAAAATCTAGTATTTGATTCATAAAACCCGCTGCCAGGCTTAGTTTCTTCTTAACATATATCGCAGAGCTTTTCAAGGCGCATCGAATGGTATATGAATGATTAGAGATCATCTTTAGTTTCACAGAGAAAGGTGATGGTCAGTTCGAGTAGCATAGCGGCGATCTATGAAAAATCTAGTATTTGATTCATAACGGCCGCTGCCAAGCTTTGTTAAGTGTCCTATTAACAGATATTGTAGAGCTTTCCAAGACACATCGAATAATAGTCGAAAATCTTCGTCCCGATTGAAAAAAATGCGAAACAAGGGGACGTTTTTTCTCATTATCCTACCCCCTGGGGTCCCTGTGGGTATAGGAGAGGTCGGTGTGAAAAATTCGGATGACCACTGATTTTGAAGATCTTTTCATGACGAATCTAATGGTGATGTCAAGATTCGATTTCAATCTTTCTTCACCCCGTTTAGTGACTTCGCGGAAACATCTATGGAAAAACACGAAAAATCGACCAAATATACGGTTGGATAGCAGAAGCTCTGAGCTTTCTAACGGTACCAACCGTTTGTGTTCATCGCGTACTGATCAAAAGTTATTCAAGAAATGGCCATTCTTTTTCTTTTTTGAAATGGATAAAAATAGTGGCTGATTTTCGATATTTCATAAGTCATTCAGGGATAATGACAAAAATGTGGTTCAAGTATGTTTAGATGCACAATTATTCATAGTTATTATGTATGTAAAAAAGAAAGAAAAAATATCTACCTAATAGACTATTTATAAATTTTTTCTCTGAAACCGATGCCAGTTCAGTGTAGTCTGATCGTTTGCATTCTTTTTTTCTTCAACCTCTTTTGCTCAAATATAACGAACAATACATTATTTCAATCAGCTGCTCAAGCGCTACAAAATCCTATATTTGGTTTTTTAATTTGTCATGGATGTGGGGTTTTTTCGAGATTTTTTCATGTATGGGCTGTTAATTCATATTAACAGCCCATATATTATGGGCAAAAATCCTTTTAGGCTACTTACCAGCTCGATGTGCTCTATAAAACGAGGTATGAATGAAGGAAATCGAAGTTGGGCACCTGGGGCGGTTCCCTCGTAAACGGAGCACTTTTTTCATTTTAGTGGGAAAATTTTGAAAGAAATGCAATTTACACAAATTTTAAGTAAATTTAAAGTTAAACATTTTTTATTTGTAATTTATTTCAAAATTTTTTCATTAAAATGAAAAAAGTGCTCCGCTTACGGGCACATCTATTAGGCATATCTACCTAATAGACTATTTATAAATTTTTTCTCTGAAACCGATGCCAGTTCAATGTAATCTGGTCGTTTGCATTCTTTTTTTCTTCAACCTCTTTTGCTCAAATATAACGAACAATACATCATTTGAATCAGCTGCTCAGGCGCTACAAAATCCTGTATTTAGTCTTTTAATTTGTCATGGATGTGGGGTTTTTTCGAGATTTTTTCATGTATGGGCTGTTATATGAATTAACAGCCCATATATTATTAAAAACGAATGCCGATGACTATTTCTTTAATAACTTTTGAACAGTGCACTTCGAAGACTTGCGGTTTTCAGCTTTCTAACGGTACCAACCGTTTGTGTTCATCGCATACTAATCAAAAGTTATTCAAGAAATGACCATCCTTTTTCTTTTTTGAAATGGATAATAGCCGGAAAATTTTGCCCAAAGTCCAACGTTAAAAAATTCAATATTCCACCAATATATTCATAGGACCGCCGAAATTTCTTGAGGATACATAGTACTCAATGCCCTATACAAACTGGTATAATTTGAGGGCAGGTTTGTAGGTGATTACCCCCTCACCCTCACCCTTAAACGAATTTATCACCGATTAAAGCGTCCAAAGTTGTAAGAAAGCGCGTTTAGCAGTGTACTTGGTCTAAAAAAATGTCTGCCAGGGTGTACAGTAAGAATTGTATCTTGGAAAATGAAAAAACATCCAAGGAATCGGTAAATTGTCTCAGTTCTGCTGCCAGTTATATAGTTCATACTGGGTAGCCAGACGGAATCTATAATCAGTTCCACGGTGAACTGAGGATGATACAGAGTGTAGGCCAACTGATTTATTACTGATACTATTTTTAATGTTTAAATTGATTGAAGCCGCTGAAAAATGAAGACTACTGGTCTATATAATCTTTAGGCAAATTATTCGAGCTTTGTCATTACATGAGCAGAAACAAAAACCTTTTATTTGATAGGAAAAGGTAGGCAAGCTAACCAAGGACTAAAAAGCGTTAAATTTGACTTTTACGCCAGAATACTTATTGTACAAAGCATCATTATCACCTCTCGTTCAAGTGTAGCAACTATTAATCGTTCACATAACAGAAGCCTTTACATTACTCCGGTTTTCGACCGTATATCTTCATGAAACGCTGACACGCTGACGGTCAGATTCTAGAAAATGATATACCAATATTATTCAGACTAGTAGCAATATCTGGATGATCAGATGGCAAACATTTTTCTCTCATCTTGAGACATTTTGAATAATAGTCCAAAGCACGATCATACTCGCCTTTGTTGTCATAAACCAGGCCAATATTATTCAGACTATCAGCAATATGTGGATGATCAGATGGCAAACATTTTTCCCTCATCTTGAGACATTTTGAATGATAGTCCAAAGCACGATCATACTCTCCTTTGTTGTCATAAACCAGGCCAATATTATTCAGACTAGTAGCAATATCTGGATGATCAGGTGGCAAACACTTTTCTCTCATCTTGAGACATTTTGAATAATAGTCCAAAGCACGATCATACTCGCCTTTGTTGTCATAAACCAGGCCAATATTATTCAGACTATCAGCAATATGTGGATGATCAGGCGGCAAACATTTTTCTCTCATCTTGAGACATTTTGAATAATAGTCCAAAGCACGATCATACTCGCTTCTCTTGTAATAAACGTTGCCAATATTATTGAGTACTCGAGCTGATGCTTTCTTAGGCACTGGCTTGCTCATCATCATTGTTCCATAGCTATGCTCATACAGCTGCAGTGCTTTGTCGTACTCGCCTCTCAAGTCGTGAGTACGACCAAGGTTAAACTCAATGTGACTTATATTTTCATCTTCATGATTTTGAAATAGATTCTCAAAGTACTTCATTGATTTGTCACACTGTCCCATATCACAAAGAAGGGAACCAAACATGACTGCAACGCTTCTTTCCTCGAGCTCTTTTCTATTCAACTTGATATATTCTCGTGCTATATCTGCTCCTTTGCTTGTTACTCTTAGGTTTACTCGACTGAGATCCGGCTTTTCACGATTAACTGACTGAATTTTAAAAGTTGCACCTAGATCAAACAGGACTTCCTGTTCTTCTGGATAATCGCTAAACTTAGCGACGTCAGCACACACAATGTCATCATCATTTAACTCGTTGAAATCGTACTCAATCTCAAAGAGAACAACAACAGCGTCTCGACGCTTCGTCAACTGAGATGCGAAATTCTGCGCCACTGAAGGCAAACGACTTGTTGACAGATAACCCCCATTGATCGAAATGAGTTTGCCTTCATTCCCTTTCAGCTTTTCAACTTCTTCATTCGACAGTTTCACACCACGATAAACTCGAAGCACACCCTGCTCGCGCTCTCTCATCTTCTTATACTCTTGTGCAAGACTTAAGCACAGATCGGTAATGAAAAAGCGAAATATGTGCAGTTGTTCGATGTCTTCTGTACGTAGAGCTTTGTTGATGAGTTTATAAACGAATGACTGTCGTGTATACCATCGAATAGC